AGCAACACCTCGCAAGAAGGCCCTAGAACGCTGATACGGCAGACGAAGACGAATACGTTGTCATCCGAAGTCGACAAGTGGATTGTAAAGTCCGCAATTGTAGTTCGGATGAATCCGAGCTCCAAAGCGGTGTGGAACTCCCCCTGTCGGCCCGTACGAAACCGAACTCGAGTTTTCTTGTCCTTCTGAGTCGGTAACGGTTGTGACTCGGATGCATCCGAATTCGAACAGCGCGGTCCTGAGACGGTCATCCACAAGAGGTCATCTACGGCACGTGTTTTCGTCACCGACCTGCGAGCACTGGGTTAACCCTATCCTGTCGGAGGTTCGGTTCGGTTGAACCTGAACCTCGCAAATGTGGCTCGGATTAATCCAAGACGGGGACCGGCGGATGGACCCCACGGTCTGTTGACGCCCATCCAGCCATCCAAGCTTCCGTTATTCCCCAGTTGTCGTCGGATCCAACCGAAATTCGCACGGTGTGTCTTCGTCCTTGAGTGTTTAAGCCGGGTGTGGCTCGGATTCATCCGATTTCGACAGAGGCTGTCCCGATACGTGCGACCACGACAGGCTGCGCCGACACAGTGTGCTTTCGACGTACAAGTTTATCAGACCGTGCGACGTTGTCAATACCCTCTGCGCATGTGGTTCGGATTAATCCGACTTCGCCGAGGCGCTTCGCTTTGTTGTCGCCCCACCACACACCGGACCTCCCCTCGATTGTCGTAGTGTGTCATTATAATCTGTGCGTCATCACGGGGGATATCGTCGTCGTCGTGAGTTTTAGTTGGTTGTTGCTCGCCCGATCCAAACAACAGACACGTTTGCTGTAGTCGCAGCACAAGTTTCTAGCTCGTCTTTCTTCCACCGAGCGTAACCATCTCGACTCGTTTTAGTTGCATGAATCCGAGGCATCGTTGACCCTCGTCATCAGACTGCCCTTCTTAGAGCGAATGGTCGAAGACGAAGACAGCGTGGTAGTTCGGACACATCCGAACTGGGCAGAGTCGAAAGACCGACGTTGTGACTCGGATGCATCCGAATTAGGCCGACCACTAGAGGAGGACATCGGCACGGCGTGTTTTCCTCAATGACCTGTGAGCAGAGGGTGGACCCTATCCTGTCGGAGGTGTGGTTTGGATTTATCCGAGACGGAACGGTCTTTTGACAGCGTGTGACTTCGTCGTTCACGTTTATCGGAATGTTCGGCGTCGTAAATACTGTCTGTGCATGTGACAAATCCGAATATGCTGTCAGTGTGGTTTGGATTAATCCGAACTTCGCCGGGTTGCCTCGGTTAGTGGTCGCCCCGTGAGTTTTAGTGGGTTGTGACTTGGATGCAACTGAAATTAACAAGGGTGGCCCAGTTGTTGCGCCACCACAAGATGGTATGGACAGGGTGGACTATCGTCCTCCTGGTTGGTCAAACATGTCGCCGTCGACAATACCTTATGAGCATCTGATCACTCCGTGTCCTGTCCTGTGTCCAAGTCAGCGGAAGGGTTCCTCGCGGCGTTCGGCTGACGCGAGGTTTGATAGGGTTTAAAGATTTGAATTCACGTTCGCCTCCTGTGTCTTCGAATCTGTCGTAGCCGTCTTCGAATTACTGATCTGTGATTGCACTCAGGGGGGGACCAACCTGAGATCGGTTGAGCGACTGTCTGCGATACACAAGGATTGCAGAAAGGAAGAAAACCCGCATAGACACGGAAGGGAGACTAAGATCGATAGAGACGTCGACAAGGAGAGGATGCACAGCGAGAGAGTCTGTCTTTAGCTCTCTGTCTCTCCATGTGCAGATCCTACGGATGGTGTTGTCCATTTCGGAATTCGCAATGTGACCCGTTAATAAAACAGCACGAAAGAAATTTAAGAAAAAATTGTTCGTGTCGACTAGAGGAAGACTGACGAAAAATTTGAAACAATGTGGAGGACACTCATCTCGCCCGAAACTCCTTCATCTCTCCCCGATCAGATGGCACACTCACACATCCGCATGTCATGTCCTGAACATGCGTGGCCACGCTGATGGACGCGGGGCTATATTGGAGCCTCGCATCCACTCTGCTGCCGCATAGAGCCCCTTTGTCGCATAGAGCCCTGCATCCATCAGCGTGGCCACGCTTGTTCAGGACGTGACACGTGGATGTCTAAGCGTGCCATCTGATCGGTGCGAGTGATCGCCAATGAGACGCATTCATTCTTGCTCCGGAAACTCCTTCATCTCGCCCCGATCAGATGGCACACTCACACGTCCGCATGTCATGTCCTGAACATGCGTCGCCACGCTGATTAGGGGGGGGCTATATTGGAGTCTAGCATCCATTCTGCTGCCGCATAGAGCCTCGCATCCATCAACGTGCACACGCTTGTTCAGGAACTGACACGTGGACGTTTGACTGTGCCATCTAATCGGGGCGAGTGGTCGCCAATGGAATGAGATCCGCGAACGCACCCCGAGGTAAGTTCGCGAAAGAAATAGGCTAACGCATAAGACGAACGAAATAGAGGCGCTGAAGACAAACTAATGACGGGGACGAAAATGGTAGTTGAACACGACGGCACACACGTCCACGTGTCAAGTCGTGAGCATGCGTGGCGACGCTGATGGGTGCGGGGCTCTATTCGACAACATTTTGTTGCCGCATAGAGCCCCGCATCGATCAGCGAGCCTACGCTTGTTCAGGACCTGCCACGTGGATGTGTGAGTGTGCCATCTGATCGGGGCGAGTGGTCACAATGGAACTAGATTCGCGAAAGCAGGCCGACGGAAAAGACGAACGACATAGAGACACTGATAGAAAACTGACGAGGATGGTGGTGGAACACGACGCTGTTGGTTCTGTCTCGTTCGTTTGTCTGCGTTTGTCAGTTACGTTCGCAAACTTTATGCAAACGACACAGACAAGCGCAGTGAAACGAACGAGATAAAAGAGAGAAAGAAAGATAAAGAGATAGCGAGAGAGAGAGAGCGCAGAGAGGCGATCTCCGCCTTCATCACACGGTCCAATCAAACGTCACGATCAAATGGCCCCGAACATCATAGACTCCCTATCACACATCCGCCTCACAGAGAGAAATCCATGTTGGATCACACGACACTGCTCGTTCGCGGCGACTAAACCCAATGTAATAGCCACCGCGCAAATCCCGACTACACATCGCGTACATGTGTGGGCATTCTGACGGTCTACGCAAACCCAGCATGGCAGGACTTTTCAGGTAGGTGGAGATGGCGAGAGAAAGAGAGACAGAGAGAGAGAGCGAGAGAGAGAGAGAGAGAGAGAGAGAGAGAGAGAGAGAGAGAGAGA